GAAACAAGCTATGGAAGATCTTAGAGCAGTACGACATCAAGGGACAGCTGCTAGACAACATCAGGGCTATCTATGCCAACAGCAGAAGCGCTGTCCGAACTACCAGTGGAACATCGGACTGGTTTCCAGTAACATCCGGAGTCAGACAGGGCTGCAATCTCTCCCCTCTGCTCTTCGTGATCTACATGGACCAGATTACAAAAGAGGCCAACCCAGACCCAGAGACACTCAACGAACTCGTGTTCGCAGACGACCTGGCAATGATTAACAACAAGACCCAGCTACAGGAGCATATGAACCAACTAAACGGTCATGACAATTAGCAGGAGACCAGGTAAAGTGGATATCAACATCAATGGATCCCAACTAAAACAAAGCAGAGAATTCAAATACTTGGGCAGCATTTTCACAGAAAATGGAAAATTAGATCGAGAAATAGAGACAAGATGTCAGAACGCCAACGCAGTCAGTCATCAACTCGGCCCTTTCCTGAAACATCCCACTATCTACATGAGCACCAAGGCGAAGCTCATCAACGCCATTTTCCGACCAACACTCACATATCCTACCAGAAGATTTGGCCACCAGCTTCCTCCACTCCGTCCGGTCTTCAGCTTTTCTGAGCGTGTCTTAGAGTTCCAGGTCTGTCCATTCCTTGATGTTGTCCTCCCAACTCTTCTTCGGTCTGCCTCTGCTCCTTTTTCCCTGGACACTGCCTTGCAGGGTCATCTTGGCAAGGCCGGATAAACGGGTAATGTGCTCCTATCATTACAGGTGTGTGTACCAATGTTTCCATGGTTATAGTAGTCCGCTAAGAAATGTGCTGGTGGTTGTCCGACTTGCATACATAGGAAAAGAGGAGTGGAGGGCGGGGGTGAGGAAGGCAGGCTCTGGGTTCTCTCGTGGTTGTGCTATGTAGACTTCACTAATCAGTTTCTATCAGCGGCACATTTAAGCGTGCAGTGTCCCATTTGAAAACAGAAACTGTTCTATTTAATGTTGCTGTGTTCACATTTATGGATCTTACAGGTGATCTTACGACAGGAATTCTTTTTGAACATACGTGTCATATCTAAATGTTCAATGTCACAAGATTTCTCCAATTGTAGATTTGTTGTTGCTTTGTCACTTTCGAACTTGCTATGTTTACATTTGAAGGGAAATACTTCCTTCCTTCCTTCCTTCCTTCCTTCCTTCCTCTCTCCCTATACCGTCAGGTACATAAGGCGGAGAGCAGTCGACGCCAAGCTTGTCTGTCCCTGGCCACGTCCTCCAACCTTGACACATCCAGGCCCTGGGTGATTGCCTCATCTCTTATTGTGCCTCTATAGCTTCCAGTCGGTCTTCCCCGCTTTCTCTTTCCAGTTGGTCTCCAATACCACATCTGATAGGGCAGTCTTGTCTTCAGCCTTCTCAAAACATGTCCTAGATATCTCCATCTTCTCCTTGTTATGGTCGTGTTGATATCTTCAATTCCAGCTCTTTACAACACTTCATCATTTGTAATAAATTCATTCCATTTTGTTAATAAAATTCTACGTAGACAATTTATTTGGAAGCTGTTTATTTTCCGTTACATTGTGTTGTTTGTTTTCCATATCTCTGAACCATACGTCAATACAATCAAAGTATTGCTATTACCATATCTCTGAACCATACGTCAATACAATCAAAGTATTGCTATTACCATATCTCTGAACCATACGTCAATACAATCAAAGTATTGCTATTATATAGTTTTAATTTCGTCTTTAATTAGATTATCTTTGACTTCCATATTGTTTTTAATTTCACCAAGGCGATCCATGCATTTTAAAACCTTTGATGGACGTCGTCTAGGCAGTCTGAAGTTTTGGATATAATGCTGCCAAGGTATTTGGATTTACTAATTTCTGCAAGGAGTCCTCGATAGAGAGTGACGGGCGTAGTTTCTGATGATAGCCGTAGCACTTCTCTTTTGGATATATTTATTATAAGGCCACATTTTCGAGCAACTTTTGCTAGTTCGGTGTTTTTTAAAATTGCATTTCATATACTGTGCTGTTTAATAGGCAGATGTCATCTGGAAAATCTAGATCGCCCAAATATGTGTCATTTGCCCATCCAACGCCTGTTTCAGTGTATTTGCTCTGTCTCATGACAAAATCGATGTCAATTCCCAAAAGTACAGGTGATAATATACAGCCTTGTCTAACTCCAGTGTTTACTCCAGAAGGTGTAGATAGTTCTCTGGGTGGCTGGTGGGTGCTCTGCTGTGGTTTGCTCCATCTCCACAATCAAACATCTGATGTCCCTATCTTCCTTCGTTTTCTTTCTAGTACTCTCTAGTAACACTATGAAGCTTTGGCACTTGTAAGACGTATTTGGTTCGTAAGTGCCGTAAACTGCTACTTCAACTAAACCAGACTAACGACTTTATCAAGAACATGCTCTAGTCCGGAACTGGTCAGAGTGTAAATCAATGAGCCCCCCTCCCCCC